AAAAAAAAAATGTTGTGGTTTCAACACGAAACTATCAATGGTTCCAGTTTGGCGACATAGCTGGGAAGTGAAGTTATGTTTTGCTACTGCTATGAAACGATAATCGTCACTTATGGGGCTTCAGAAGGAGAAAACGCTTTCAGCCACTTTCCCCATTGAGTGTTAACGACCATTTGCGTATCGAGAATTGTCTTGGTGACCATTTTTGGTCTAGAGTGTACTGAATTGAGGTCACTTTTGACTTTTGTTCTAAAGTTGTTGTTGGATACGACAACAAAGCATGGGCGTCCGTGAAGTAGCGGTTACGCGTTTGGCCATTGCACGGAGAAGACCTGGGTTTGACTAAGACCTGGGTTTCACTCCCGGACGAAGAGAATTGTTATCGAGTGTCTCCGTCTTTCTACAGAGATGGTGTATCCGTCTCAGTCTCAGCCTGTGGTTGGCCCCGACAGACGGGATCGAAGCCTGTCTGCCTCCCAAATGTAATCGAAGTGGGCGTAAAACATCTGCATGAGGAAAAAAATAACGATGTCAAAGCAGGTTTACGAGTTGTGGTATGATCCACCACAGAAGGTAGACTACTTTGGTATTGCTTAAAGTTGGGTGATGAAAGAGCACATCGACAAGGAGCAAACCCGAAAGTGTGCAGGGGCTTTCAAACATTTACTCCTTTACTCCTTGAATAAAGTAATGGGTTGCTTTTTGCTTTTTTTCATGGGAGCCACGAAGTCAGACCGTCTAGTTAAGTACTGTACAATCTAGTGGAATCTTAAGGCACCCCCCCCCCCCCACCAAAGGCTTTGCCGAACGAAAATCCGCCTTTATTTAAAGTTCGGTGAAGCGGTCCTTGTTGTTATCTTCTCAAGTCCTCTGAAAACGCTCAATTCAAATCCCTTGTGACTACAACGCCCTCTGTGTGGTTATTGGTCAGATTGGGAGCCGTTACACACAAGGAACTTGCGTTCGATTCCCGCACGGGGGAGCTATATTTTTTATCCAGCGTCTCCGCCCGTCTGCTGGGATTCTTTACTCTACACTTCCCGGGTTGGCCCTGTCAGGTAGGGTCGAAGCAGCCATCCTCTAAAATAAACTAAGTTAGGTCAATGGGGGCGTAAAATATTTACCCAAAGTGATTCAATGAGGCATCCATTCCAAGGTTTCACCTTTGCACAGAAAAAAAATCGCCTCTGAAAATGGGACCATCATCGTGTCACTCATAGATACGATTCCAATCTGTCTTGCAAATCAGTCATCGGTGCTCTGGGACAAAACCCTCTAATTTTGATCTCTGGCGTAATGATTTCCCTGCCTCCTCCCATCCGCATTCCAGCTGCCGAAATTAATGCTGAGTTCTCTGCGCCTTCACTGGTCGTGTCCACACTCTTTATGTGTCTATGGAGGGTATGCACAACCAAAAAGGGATATATTATAGAGGAACGATTTTTGTTACGCTTTATGGATCTGAAAGTATTGGCGTCATAACCGGAAAGTTTGTTCAGGGCTGCTTTCTGGGTAGATCCTTGTTTCCAACGCGCACACAAAGTGTGGATAGTGTTATTATTAAATGCCTCGAACTGGCTTACCCGGTTTTGTGCAGACTGCTGGCCCTGGCCTACGGACATTTGGATATAATTAAAATTTGTTACTTGCACCTCTTCACGTTCCAGTATCGCACTTAAGGGACATCGGTGTGTAATTATGAAGCCATCCTTTACTGCACTCGTCGGATTTCCATCAGGTGCCAGTTGTGGAGTTCCTAATTGGCTGCCACGTTAAAAATCAACGTGGTAAAGCATAATATGTACAGTAATTATATTATAGTTTAGTGGCGTGTAACCGTCACTCTCTTTGCGTCTCTAAAGCGGTGACCCACTTCGTCCGGGAAGTGAAGGAACGAAATCAATACGCCGTTATGGACGATTCCGAGCTGTGCATTCCGAGCTGACCGACGACTATGCAGAAATTGTGAGAACCAGAATCTGCGTTTATTAACAGACTGCGCTATTGCTTGCGAGCGTTTGTCTGGTTCTGACTCTGTCTTGTACGAACTATTGAATTTTACACGATATGGGAATTGCATTTTTTTAAATTATTATAAAAAGCAAAACAACAAGATAGAGTGAAAGTAGAAAATAACGTTTACCCTATATTTTAGAGCCAAGTATTGGAGGTGCACGCACAAAAAGTTGGGGAAGGAGTGGAAGGGGGGGGGGATAAATAACTTATTGCAGCTAGATCTAGTCACAGTATCTGTTACAATCACATTAGAGTGCATGTTACCGTTTTGTATTGCAATGATCTCTAAAAAGACTGTCATCGCCAGCTGTGGTCTGGCTAGCTGCATGCTAGCAAAGGGATTAAAAGTAAAGGGCTTACCAGAACATTACATTTTACAGTTTGATGCACGTTTGTGGTGTTTCATGTGTCACTTCTAGATTTCTGCCGCGCCCCCCCCCCCCCCTCCCAAAATCTCTCTCTCTCTCTCTCTCTCTCTCTCTCTCTCTCTCTCTCTCTCTCTCTCTCCCCCCCCCCCCCCCCGATGTTAAAACCAGGCTATGCGCTCCATCATTGGAATGGTGGAATTATGTCTTCCGGGGTGTTACAGCAAACACATTCGGACAACGATGTCTGTTCTGGTTGAGACTGGAGGGCGACTCCCTGAGGTGGCCTTGCTGCCATCAACAGCGCTGTGGTAGTGGCGTGCTTGTCATAAGCGAAGGGGCCAACCACCGGAGCTACTAATACTGTGCATACCCTTTTCATTTCGGTTTTCTTCTTATTTGTGTTACCGAGTACGAAGTGAGTGCACTACTAAAGCTGCGGGTAACTGGAGCAAACCACTGGTAGGTCCTACTTTTATTTTTACCCTCTGTTGTTGCCGTCTGTCTGTCTTACCTTTTCCCAGCTGTAAATGATCATTGCTGTGTTGAGGTTTTTCTGTTTACTGAAACAAACAAACAAAACAAAACTAACAAAGCACTATAACCCTGTGTCCGACCCGGTATCTGTATAGTTGTTGTAGTTTGCGTTTGTAGTTTGTGTGTCTGTGTGCATGGACGTCTGTTTTGTTGTTGCTTTATTCATTGTAAATTTGAATAAAGTTGTCTTTTTTCTACATGGTTTTGTTTGTTGTTTTTGGGGTTTTTTTGTGAACTTAACGGTTTTTTTAAAAGAAAAATGTCCACTTTCAAAGGACAATCACTCTTCATCCTGTAAATTGGAACATTTTCGAAAATGCGTGACTACGCTGTTCTTGATATTCGTGGAAATTACTGAATATGACCGTTGTTTTCCTGAAAATCATATTTTTAAAATCACCAGCCGAAGATAATTTTCGAAAAGCATGATAAAATAAACGGCACGTATGTTGCTGTGACATCGAATTATCCACTGTGCGAGTCATAAACTGAGACTACATTTCATAGTCTTTTAAAAATGATTATTGTGAATTATTATGCGCTTAATGCTTGTGTCATCATGTTACAAGTTGTGGTGAAAAATTGAGGTGGGTGGTTGGCGGGTGCTCTGGTGTGGTTTGCTTCTTCTTTCCTAACTCACATCTATTGTGTTTATTTCCCCTTCTTCTTTTTTGTGTTTGTTACTCTCTTGTAACACCTCTCATCTTCGGCACTTATATGACCATATTGTGTTGCAAGTGCTGTACAACTCTTACTAAAACGAAAAATTGAGGTACGGTTAGGCCTACCTATCCAAGATGCCTGCTAGTGAAGACAAGCTGGTGGTACATGATTCTGCGGTATTTGTGCATGTAAAATGATCGTGCATGTATTCCTTTTGTTGTTCGTTTTTGTTCTTTTCATCAAAATATTTCCGTTAACAGGAAAGAAAAAAGAATGATTTGAGGACGAAAGTTGACATTAAATTACCGAACAATCCTTATACTGAAATAGTCTATACTTTTGCTTTAAACACCTCTCCGGAGGGGCTCTCGTGGCCTTGAGGTTAAGGTGTTGACCTCTCATTCAAAGGTCCCGGGTTCGAATCCGGGAAGCGACCGAAATATTTTCTTCTCTAAAATTGTCTTCTTTTACCTCCTTTCCTGCTCTCTAGCAATGTTCTGTCGCCTGCTTTCGTCTCTTCTTTCTGTCCCCACCTCCTCACCTCATTTGCCCCCTCCTCTGGGCTCCTGACTCTTTATGCATCCTTTCTTCTGCTACTCCTTGACTTCTTCTTACTGCTGTCTTTCAGCCACATCCCTGATCTTCTGGTAGGAAAGATCTACACCTAGCCTTCTAGGACAAGGGCGAAAAATCTCGGAGGGCCCGTGTGCAAGTTCCGCACGTTAAAGATCCCTTAGTAGTCTAAAATCGATAAGAGTAGGCTTCGGCCACCACCAGGGCAACATTCAAAATTTTCTACCAATTAAAAATGATTGGTGTGTCCCGCGCGCCCATGACCTTATGCAGTTGCGAGCGCCGTAAAACATTTACCACCCCCCCCCCCCCAAAAAAAAAAAGACAAACAAAAACGAGACACACTTCTCCTTGCTTCTCCGGGTTACACTTGTAGGAGAGGCTGGTTAATGGGTGCTCGGATATGGTTTGTCCCTTCGACATCTTTATCTTCCATGTCTTTCTATTCTTCTCTTTCTTCCTGCCGAATATGGTCCTTGCCGTGCTTGCTCGCCGTAGCTTTTTCAATAATGACTGCCCTTCTTCTAGTTTTGGCTTTTGTAATTTATTTACCGACTACAAAAACAATTAAGACCACAGTTGTGTGTGTGTGTGTGTGTGGGGGGGAGAGAGAGAGAGAGAGAGAGAGAGAGAGAGAGAGAGAGAGAGAGAGAGAGAGAGAGAGAGAGAGAGAGAGAGAGAGAGAGAGTTTGGTGGGCAGTTGACCTCCCAACTATTTTGAAGGATCCAAACCCCTTCCTTTCGCTGGTTATACTAAGTTATACCTTATACGCTGTTGAAAATACCCTCAGTATGTTCAATTGAAGCCATATCATCTGCAGATGGTAATCATATTATTTTTAACTTTTGATCAAGTTGGTGAAAATCTTCTTCCATAATGTCCGTGTGCTCTGCGACACAATAAATCTATGGTAAAAGGGAACGTAAAAGAGACATAATTCATGACGTGTAACGTTATGTACTCGGAACTCCTAGGGACTCTTACTTCCGCTCTGTGGATACATGTTTCATTTCCTCTGGCAGACGACAGGGGCCTCGGCAGGGGCAATTTGTGCATCCTTTGTCACCAAGACCAGGAGGAAATGACCCGCTTTCTCGCCCCATGCCTACATTCTTACCATGAGGCCGCCCCCCCCCCCCCAACCTGACCCTTGATGGACAACTGGTTGTCGCGTTGTCTGTGGTCAAGTGGGGTCCAACCACTCGTCAAGTCGGCTATTTATTGTGCGGACCACCGCTGTAGGTAAATAGTAGGAAAATGTTAATGGATTGGGACCAAAAAAAATGTGGGGGAGGGAGGTATGGTTGCAGTTCTCAAGTTCCGTACGTTGAAGCCTTTTGCCTTTTTTTGTCTCAGAAGAAATGGGAACATGTGTACGGTGCACGTGTGTGTTTGTGCGTATAGGATCTCGCGATGGAGATGCACGGACAGAATATTGAACAGGAACAAAAACCTATGCATCCAGATGGATTTTGTTTTTTCTTCCCCATTTTTCTCTTGTCCTCAAAGCGGTGTTTTGAGGATGTTTGCCGAACCAAGCACGGATATTGTGCGTACTCCATGTCCTCTTTTCTATTCTGGCCCTCTACAGTGTAGATTCTGTTGAGGATAAAGTTGGCAAAAAGGATGAAAATCTTGTCTTGTGTTCTGGAGAAGTCCTTAATGATTTGCGAAGGGAGTCAACAAATTATTGGTTATTTGGGGGTTTGTGTGTGTGTGTGTGTGTGTGTGTGTGTGTGTGTGTGTGTGTGTGTGTGTGTGTGTGTGTGTTTGTCTGTTTGTTTGCTTGCTTGTCTTTTTTTTGGGGGGGGGGTAATTGGACATGATCGGGATGATTTATGGGTACAAGTATGTAGGAACCCGACCGATGGCATGAGCTTTCAAATTTAAAAAAAGTAAAACTAACAGCCGTATCGGGTTCAGATTTTTGGGGTCTGAAATGCTGCTCATCTGTGTTCCCGGTTGAAGGTGACATTGAGTGTAAACTGAATAGGTCTGAAAATATTTGTGCTTTGTAGGTTTTTATCTCGTCATGTTTGTAGACGGGTATTTGATGTTTCCGTGAAATGAGTTTCGTTTCATGACCCTATTTTTGAAGTGTGGCGTTACTCTATCTGTCCTCGGAATGTACCTGCTGTATTTGATTTTATCTTGTAGAATTCACCTGACGGTGATTTCAGATTAGGCGTTAAGCGACGCTTGTCCCTAAATCATCGTCCTGTGCTAATGTTTGCTTTTTCTTCATTTTCCTTGCCGTTATGTCTCTACATTACTGCATTGTTCTGGTCATGCAAGGAATGCAAAACGTCTTTATTCACCACACAATCTCCGCCACTCTTATTTTCCTTCTATTTATATCGCTACTTTCAGAATGCAGATGTCCTTAGTTTTCAGCTAAAGAGAAGTGCAGTAATGTATCAGACGAGGACTGTCTTTACTTACTTATTTGTCTCAGGTCGACGTCTTCATGCCCACTGTAAACAGAGTTGCGAAAGCGTTTAGCGTTTTTCCGTCAAAGCAAAGTTTGTGGTTTGCCCTCGGTTTTCTCAACAACAACAAAAAAGCTAAAACACACAAACACACACACACACACACATACACACACACACACACACACACACACACACACACACACACACACACACACACACACACACACACAAACTCAGCAAAATCCCGAACAAGCTTCCGGAACTCTCGGGTAACCTAGCGACACAGCAGGGCCTAGCGTACCAAGCTTTTCTTAATAGAATCATTCTTTAATGGCTCCGCCGCTAGCGTCTGGCCTGTCCGAGTGAGGGAATAGTTTTGTTTTCCCATGACATCTCAAAATGTTACTCTTCTGCGTTATAATGGCATTTCGTTTAGTGATCTTTTTGTTTGTTTTCTTGTTGTTGTCTGTCGTATGAAGTGGAACCCCCTGTCTATTGTATTTGATTTGTGGTTCCCCTTATTTTTAAAAGCTGGTGTTGTTATTGTTTTGTAGCGTGCCATGTGTTTAACAGCTCTCTTTTCGTTTCTTTTGCTGATGCCTGCTGGTGCGGGCGTTCGTTCGTCATAACAAATGCTGCAATTTGTATGTTAATTTGACCTGTGAGACCGGTTGTTCTAGGCCTCAGTCAGTCCTTCTCACTGACTCAACAATATCGTTTTTTTTTTTCCTAATTATTCCTGCCTTTGGAACGTCCTGATTTTCAGGCACGTATACAGTGTTATTGTTACACGTACTAAGTATGACTAAGGTTGTTTTTGAAAAAACTATTATGTTTTATTGCGTTTGTAATAAATTCATTTTATAAATTATGTTGTTCAAAGTTGTTTATTCTTCTGTGCGTCGTTTGGTTGGTTGGTTATGCAGTGTTTTGGGGTTGTTGTTTTTTTCAAAATTTGATTTATGTCGTCCCGAGCAATGTTAACTGTAGATACATCATAATATTGACCCAGTTTAGTGAGGTACATTTTGTATGTGGACGTGAGGACGAGGGTACAGTTGATATTGACATACTCACACGGCCGGAGGCTGCCGGTAAACATTACCCTTTGCTCTGACTATTTCGGTCGCCGTGACCTTTGCACTGTACATTTCACCGTCGACCTACATTAAGACGTGGCCGCCCCTGTGTTTGAAGAGGTTCAACACATTGCAACTTGCCTGGTGGTATGCTTTGAAGAAGAATGCAAATAAGTT